ATGATCAATGTTGGTATACCTAACCCTGAATTGTACCCCACATCTTTATAATAAATAAATTAATTTAAAAAAGAAAAAGCATGATGGGGAAGGTCTATTGCATGAGATGATGTTGGAGAGGAGTCCTGAATGGAGTAAGGGAGAGTATTGAGGGAACATCTCGGGAAGAAGTATTGCAGGTAGAGAGAAGGGCAAGTATTAACGCTTCTGGGCAGCAACTTATTTCAGTAAGGAGGTCAGCATGGTTGGAGCAGAGTAAGTTTGGAGGAGAGCATGGCGATGAACACTCTGGACAGTGTATGGAGAGCACAGGATGGCCAACAGGCATTCACAGCTCCAGGTGAGAGCTGAAGGTGATAGATGAAGACTGGAGTGATGGTGACAGAAGCAGTCGGAATGACCAGATTTGGAATATCTTTCAAGGATAAAAGAAAACCAAGACGACTGACTGTTGGACTGGGTTAGTATGGCAGGGTTAGAAGAGAGATGAAAGAAGGAAGAGAATCTAATATACCCCAAGATTTTTTTTTCTTTTTTGCTTGAGCACTGGATAAAGGGTGGAGCTGTTTATTGGGATGAGGTCACTGGAGATTTCTTGACAGGAAACCGAGTATTCTGTCTTTCTCTGAAATCTATAAGTGATTACATAACATGTGAAGTTGGTTATATGAAATCAGAGACCAAGAGAGAGGTCATGGTTGAAGATTAAATCTGCGAGTCTTCGGCATCTAATATACTCAAAGTGAAGTGCAAATTTCTATTAATAAGAGTGTGCAGTCCTGTGGACCAAGCCCTGCCCTTCCACACAACTTTTAACAGTCATTATCATTAAAAGGGTTTATACATGAAGACTAAGGAGGTGTGGCCAGAAAAGTAAAAGAAAGTCAGAAGAGTGAGTCATCCTAGGAGCCAAATTAAAAAGAGAAAGTGATCAAGTGCATCAAATGATGGGGCTCTTTCTTTCAAAACCTCCTTCACTTATAAATCCAGAAAATTTCTCTTTCTGGAGAGCTGAGAACTTGAGGGACGGCCCTGTCTAACTGTGAGGAGAGGGCATTCGAGTGACTCTCTCCCGGCAACGGGAATGGTGGAAAGTGTGAGATGTGGAGACTGTAGTTCTGTCCTAACAAAGGAATAAAACTGCAGAGACGCTGCCTCCACAAAACTGAGTTATACATTACAAATGAGTCCCATTGCTAGTAGAAGACCCCAAAGTCACATCAGCAATAATGACAAGCAGTCTCAGGGTGCCTCCTTTCCTGACCCAAATGAATATTCAGGGGCGAGCAGTTCTATTTCCCTGTGTTCTGGCTCAGTGGAAAAGACCTTTTGCTGAATTGGCCAATCTTGTGAGTGTCTTAGTGCTTTCTGTTTTCTTATCATGGCCCTCTGCTTTATAGGTGACTAGTGGTAAGGAAGGCCTTGAGGTTGAACTCAGCAGAGAAAAATTGTCAGATTTGCAAAATCTGTGGCAAAGATGAGCAGTCTCAGGTAAAGAATGCTGAGTAACATATATTTATAAGGCTGTTGGAGATCAGCAAATGTTAAGCACAGTGTCACCACTGTCTGCATAATTTATATAGTCAGGCATACACCTCCCTGACAGCCTCAAAAGAGTAGAAAACCCTCTCTTTTTTCCATTTTGAAGACTGCCTCAAGACCTTAGAGTTAAGCAAGGAGGGTCTAAAATAAGCCTGAT